GAACCACCTCGAGAGTATACTTTCAAACAAAAAAGAATTTTCAAAATGTGTCCACAATTAACGGATAATCAGTCCACAATTAACGGAGAAATCGGTGAGGACACTGACATGCCTATAAAATTTGAGGATATTCCCCGATTTCTATGGGATCCCCTCATCGGATCCTGACTTGGTGACAATGGTTGGTAATAATTAATGGTGACTCTTGCGGTGGTTCTAGAGTGCACCCTTTCAAAGAAAAAAAGAATTTTCAAAATCAGTCTACGATTGATGGAGAAGTCGGAAAACATACATACAGCCGAATGTATAACCTCCTCCTTTTTTTGAAACAGTTAAAAATAACTAAACACATAAATCTTTATAAACAATAGGTAATGGTTTTCAATTTACTTTCACGGCAGCTTAACCCAGAAACATACAAACTGGAATAGAAAAATACGAAAATCCACGCGAAAATACGAAAATGTTCGACAAAATACAATATTACTTGCACTCGCTAGTATAATGCCATCCAATCCCATTCACGATTTCAGGCAGAAATTGACTTTAACACCCTAAGAATAAGCGTCATATTGAAGCCTTAAAATAATAGTATTACTTAAAAGGATTTCAGTTTTCATCTCTGCACCGAAAAGTGGATTTTAAAATAATACGAACAAGCTTCAAATATCGACGAAACTTCGTTTGTAAATTCAGTGTTGCTTGTGATACGAAATTGAACTTTAGAATGGATAGTTTTATAACACAGTTTTCGATAGCACTGTTGCTGGGATAGATTCAAAATTGTGTACTGGATTGTTTCGTGTCAAAAAGTAATTTTGTTTGAAAGTGTTTTCAATTGTTTTTATGTTATATAAATTCAAAGAGTATTCGAGCACCCTGTTCAAAACGCAGAGCGATGATAGCCGAATAACTTTTCTTTTACTCAAATAAGGCACTGCAATTTGTCAGTTTGAATTTGGTACGTATATTACGACCCGTTTACACGTGTTATGTGCTTAATAATAATATCTTAAATATAATATCTCCTATTGTAGGTACATTTAGTAGCAGTGTGAGTGAGTTCGCCCAGGGAAGTATTGTCACCATCGCCAAGCACTAATGTGAACAATACTGCGTTCCGATTTTGAAGGGTAAGGGCGCTGGTGAAATTGCAGGCACGTGGGACTTGTTAACTTATATGTATCACTCAAGGTGATGATCGCAGTGACACTATTAGTTATTATACAACGTCTGCATACTTGGATGACAAAAATCCGGGATAGTAACCCCTTTAGATCATGGAGATAGTCTCGATAGCGGTAGAGTTTAACCATTGTGACGATTTCAAGTGTAATAATGCTTACCTATGAAATAAAGATTATTTTGAATTTGAATTTCAATTTGAACTGCAAGGGTTAAAAATCTTCACGTTATGTTCTGTTTTTTTTAGTTGAAATGAACCATACGTCAGCTAAATTGCCCGCATCGAGACAGAGGATTAAAAATAATATTTTAGATGTAACGAATTCGGACAGGATCTCAGTGCAATAAAGTCGCGGCCCGCGGCAGCAAGCAGCGCAATTGGAGAAGGCACCGCCCGCCGCACTATGGGAACCTTGACTCCTTTTCATATCATAAATCTATAACTTCCGTGTTTTTGATGATATCTACCTGATTTTTTTTCTGGGTATACCTAAATAGATATTCTCTTAAATAATATACACTTTATAAGTCAAATTTTATTTATTATAGTTATAAAAAATTAAGGAATAAAAAAGTATTAATTTCTTAGATTTAACCATGCATGTTCTTATAAATTTATAGATTAATAAGATGGAGTACCTACTTTAAATATCAAGAATACATAAAAACATAGCTTAGTATTCACTCAGGAGCTCTTTTGCTTCATCAAGAAGTTCCAAATATTTATTGTTGTAAGGTTTTCTCAAGCTTGTAATGTATGGATCAGAGGTATACAAAAGTGTGTGTATAACGTCTTCGTTGGTGGCTGCCCTCGAACATTTTCTTGCATGATGAAGTCTGAACTGCTTGTAGTCTTTGATTCGTGACTCTTGAGCATCTTCAGAGAGTTGTCCAAGAGGCAAGACAGAAAAATGACGTATGACGCTTTCACCATGAATCAACACTTTGTGCACTGATGACGGCATGTAATACCATTTATATTTATTAACATACAGCTGTGCTGTATCGAATGCATACTGTCCAAATTTCGTGGCATCAATACCTCTACCACTTGACATGACCTGTAGTATAACATAAAACCGTTTTATTAATTCCTCATTTATTCCAGTGATTTCTGATGAACAATGGTAGTTTTGGAAAAATCTTCTGGCTGTATTACCGTCATTAGTGTTGCCACTTACTTGCTTAGGTTTATCTATATTCAATCCAAGTTCTTCTCTGAACCTTCTTTGTACGTAAGATTTCTTTTGCTTTTTAAAATCTTTATTCTCTGTTGTTGTGGCAGACCATTTTTCAAAATTGACCATCTTTCTAGATTGTAAGATAAATGTGAAATAAGTTCCATAAATCTGATCCAAAAATGCAAAGTTGAAAGTCCATATTGATAAGAAGCTTCATCCACAGGTTTGTTTCGCACTCTTTCTAAATTATTCATTTCTGTAGTTCTTGCACTGCAAATAGTGCACACAGCACTTGAGGAAGTTTCTGACAAAACTTGAGCCACTTTCCCATCAATCATAGTTAAAAACAACGTGTGTTTTATTTCAATACCTTCTCCATTGTGATTAATTAGGGAAGGATTCAGGGCTAAAATTTGAGCATTAATTTCGCTGACTACCAGTGTTGTTTTCTCAGCTGTTTCTTTTGAAAATTCTATCAAAATTGGTCGGCAAAATCAAACTGACGAAGGAACAGGATTAGTCCACAATACTTCATTAGTATTGGTATCAATAAGTCGCAATGGCACTAAAGATGATATAAATAAATTAGAGTCAGAAATTAGATCACTCTCTTCAGACAGGGGTTGTTTGTATTCGCTTTGTCCACTTGATCCATCACAGCCCCATTTGGAATATAGCATTAAGTGGGTTGAACCCACTTTATAAACATCATTAATTTTTAGAAGTCTGGCTGAAGTGTGATCTAAAAGATCTTGTAGTTTTGTTAGTAATTTCAACGCTAGATTCTGGTGGATAGCACATTCGCTTAGCTTCACGAATCGACTTGTAAGAAGGAAACAATAAGCAATTTTTTGTAATTAAACAATTTCTCATATTGTCATACTGTGCCTTGTTCAGATTTAATTCTATAAAAATGCTGAGTGCTTCGTCTTTTGAATACGCTGTTATATGTGCTGGTTCATTAAGAAGACTATTGCGTATTTCACTTTTTTTTTCTGACGGCAATGTTCGTAAAACTTCAACAATTAAGGCTTCTTCTATTTCGCAACGAGACATTAAGCCTGTATGTACGAGCCTGTATGTACGAGTTCAATATGAAATCAAGTCCACATGAATCAAGCAATTCCTTGTTTTTACGTTTTTTTGTGCTCACTGAACTATCTTCGTACGTTTTAGAAGGTCTTCCTCTTTTTTCTTCTGATGTAGAAGGTTCAGGTTGGCATGTAGGTTCTTTTAGTTTCACCGTGAATATACCATCCAACCAATTGCTGTTTTTACTTAAAAACAGATCTTTATTTCGACCCGCTTTAGAAAAGCGTTGACGAAACTGGTTTATGAAGGATTTTTGAATATTTGCTATAATTTTTGCTATGTTTTCATCTGAAGATTCTGTGAAATTGCTTCGTATATAATGTGTAATAGAAACAACTAATTCGAATCACTTTCAATCAACACGAGACTTAAGTCGCGTCTGGTGTACGAGAATTCACTCATTGCGGAAAGTAACTGCGTAACAAACTTTTGCTAATAACAAAAACTAATGAAGAACTGTAATGTTTAATGAAAAAGTCACTGTTTTATACTAAATAATGACAGAAGACGAGTGCAAAATTACTTGATAAAAACTAATTTATCATAATGCGGTTATGCGGTTTTTAATGGTACTGTTTGTCAATTGGAATCAAATTCTGTGAGAAATATGTGATAAAAATACCGCAAAATATAAAATATAATCTAACAATAGTGTCATATGCGTTTTTTGACGGTACGGGCAGAAAATTCCGAAAAATAGAAACTCTTAATGTACGAAATTAAAATTAATAAAAAGTTTACTGCATATTTTACGAAATTAAAACATGTTCCGCACTGAAACCGCAAGAAATTTTTATTTGCCATCTAAGTATATCATATTTCTTACAAAATAACACAAAAAATAGAACTTCGGCAAGCTTCGGCAACTGTCATATCTCAAAGTCAAAAATTGGAAAAAAGAAAATATTACATATGATGTTTATATATTTTTGTTTAAATAATGTTGTGCTAAATTATACACATTTTTTATATCTGAAAGTAAAGTACACATTCCAAGCTTTCTAAAATGGGGTAAAACTTATATGATTTCTATTGTTTTCATACTAGAAAATCATATCGAAGAAATAAAAGTTACAAAGTTGTTTTTGTATTTGTTTTATTCCTTATCTTCAAATGATTTCAACTGTGCCATACGAATGGTTAGAGATTTGAATCTTATTTATAATAATAGAGTAACTATTCAGCTACAATTTAAGGTATAATACATGCATCCCCGCATGCTTTTGTAAAAAGCATTTATGAGATGGCTCTCTTAAGAGGGTTCCCATAGTGCGCCGGCGCGACGATGACTCGACGACAAGATAAGCCCAGTCGGTAAAACACTAAAATCTAAAACAGGCTAAGAATTACTTGTGACAATTACGGTACACTACTCCCACAAAAACCGACCGGAACGACTTCATCGATAAAACAGTCGTGTGTGAAGCTGGCACTCAAGATGTCTCCGAGCAATCTTGAAGCAATACCGAAACGTCATTTTTGAACGTAATGGCGGCTGCCTGTCACTGTCAACACGTCAACGTCAAATGAAAACAAGATTCCGCCGTAAACATGAATGTCTGTGAAATTGGTTAAAATTTGCGGGAAGGATGTTAAGGGATTGATTGATAGGGGTAGTGATGTAAATATAGTTTCAGAAAGGTTGGTTTTTGACGTAGGTACATATTACAACTTTTGTAAAAGAAAGTGTAACCTTCGTCGAACTTGGTGATAAACGGATAAATTCCCTTTGAATCTATGAAACTTAATGTTGAGTTCGATGGACAGTGTTTCAAAACAACCTTCATAATGTACCACATGACGTAATACCGTATAATGTACTTTTACGGCAAGAGTTTTTGTCGAATGCTGTAAGTAATGTTAAACAGGGGTTCAGTTATGATCATGCCACAAAAGGGTGAAATTTGGTTAAACAACATTTTGTTGTGTTGCCAGTGAGTCAGGAGGGCCATAATATTGTTTAGTTTCAGATCAGCAATAAGACAGTCTACACTCGAAACTACACTCCGACTAAAGTTACAGAGGCACCCATCAAAATGAAAATTGTATTAACCAGGACGTACCAGTAGCGCAACGCCTCCGGAGGTTCGGAAGTCGATAAGAAGATTGGTGAGTGGCTGAATGATAAAATAATACCCCCTAGTTTTTCTGAATATGCCAGTCTGGACTGGCATATTCAGAATTAGTAAAAATAGTATTAGTAAAAAAAAAGATGGCAGTTTGTGAGTTTGTGTGGACTACCATAGTATAAATAGAAATTTTGACCCTTAACATTAATAAAGAGTCTATAAAGTATGCTGGCCAATAAAAATTCTTAAAAGCACCTTTTAGGTTATCAATTTGTCTTTCACTCATTATATAAATGTTATTTTCAGGGACTTAATTGGGAAGTGTTTTTACAAATTTTTATTGATGACTTACTTATTATGTTAAAATACTATGACGAAGGATTTATGAGGTTGAAGGAGGTATTAAAATTAACCAGCGAGTAGGTATGGCTTGACATAAATTGGGAAAAAGTGTGAGCTGGTGATGATGTGTGTCGAGTATTTAGGTCATGTCATAGAGAATGGCACAGTTAGGCCCACAATAGACACAATATGAGCAGTTATGAATTTTACCCAAAACTACATTCTTTCATGGGTCTTGCTTCATATTTCAGAAAATACATTACTTTGCGGCACTCGCTACACCAACAAATTTACTGAAGATTAATCAGATATTCCAATTTACTGAATATGAAAGAGATACATCAAACTCTTAACCAGTATTCAAAATTTATCATCTAGATTTACCCACGTAACTGCATACAGATGCATCATTGCATGCCCACGACGCTGAACTACACCCGGTTTACTACTCAAGTAGAAAAATGACAGATAGAAAAAATATACAAATTACGAACTAGAAGTTGTAACAGTGCTAGAAGGTGTTAAAAAATTCCGTAAATATCCTAGGAATCCCTTTCAAGATAGTTAAAAATTGTTCCACTTTTGAGATGACACTACGTAAGAAGGACTTAGCCACATGGGTTGCAAGATGGGCTTTATTAACAAGACTATGACTATACAGTAGAGCATCGATGAGGGTCCAAGATGAGAGACATTGTTGCATTAAGTCGAAGTGCCCAGTTGTCAGTGATAATGAGAAAAAGACAGATGCATAATCAACTCAGAATTGCACAAGAAAATGATGAAGGACTGAAGGCCATTATGGAAATTTTGAAGTGTAATACCTAAAGCAATGGAAACATAAATATTAAGAAGAGTGCATGGAGTTGGACATTTTGACAAAAGAAAGATTGATTTAGTAAACAAAGATTATTTTATCAAAGATTTAAATAAGAAAGTAGAAGACTTTGTTGTAACATGTATACCTTGTGTTTAAGCTACCAAGAAGGAGGGAAAACAGTAAGGATTTTTGAACCCGATAGAGAAAGAAAATGTGCCTCTACATACAATTCATATTGACCACATAGGGTGAATGACTTACTTAACATAAAATTTGTGACGTAAAGTTTTTCTTTTTGTTTAACATTTATTCAAAGTGCCTATGAATGTACTTATTAGGTATAATATTTTCTCTTTATGTTAGATTTAAGAGCTATTTAAAGTATTACATTGTAATGTACATGGAGCTAGGGACTGGCCATGGCCAGATGTGGGATCGGAATGTTAAGAATAAGTGAAAGGGATAACGAATGATGTGAGCATAATGTATGAAAGAGACAAGATATTATAATTTTTATTGTACATTGATTGGCTGCTGATGATAACATAGTGGTGTTTAATACTGGTGCATTCCAATTGTTTTTTGGTGCAATAAATTTAAAAACTATTTTCTATAAGCGATTCTGTTTGATTCCGCAACCACCACTTCCCACATTTATAATAAAAATAAGGAACAAAAATAAATATATGTAATAATAATAATATTATTTTATAAAATAATAATATATTACTGCCTCCGTGGCCGAACGGTTACCATGCCGGACTGCTACGCAGGTTCGATTCGGGAGAAATATTTGTATGGCCTACATTTATTCCTCTCGTGAGTTTGGGTGTAATATGTGGTTGTCTATGTGTGTGTCCATGGCACCCGCGACACAGGGTTTCCCTAGTGCGGGGTTTTGTTGAGTGTGTACGTTATTATTATTATATTATTTTAATTTATGGATTAGTCTAATCCATAAAAATCTGTACAATAAGTGCCATAGATTGTTATTATTAGAAATTAAACAAAGTAAAACAAATTAGTACAAAAGTAGCTAAGTGGTGCTCGTCGCGACATCTGGTGTACCAATGAGTACTAATGTGCCAGACAATCACCATTTGCCTGGCCTCAAACTAGGGAATTCCCTTTACTATGAGTAACCAGAGCAACGTAATTCACACTGGAGCACTTTCCAGAACATCCAGTCCAGAACCAATTTAGAAAAGCTCATTTCCCAAATTGGTACTACAGGGAATCGAACCTGGGACTTTCCCATCCAGTGGCCATAATGCAAAGCGAGGTCAGCCACTATCTGAATTCGGCATTGCAACTAACAGAGAAAACTATTTTATAGTAAGTGATTTACGACAAAAATGGTAACAGTAATTTTCGGTAAAATATAAAATTAAGTTGGTATTACGTCAGCGAGATTTTACGAAACTATTTGTATTACATTCGGTTGTTAACGTACTTTTATTAGCGCAAACGTTTTCGGTACCTGGCCTTCGTAAATAACGCAGTAATATTCATGTTTTTAATTAATCATTTATAACTTACTTTTCGGAGCTCTTAATTAATAAAAAGACAAAATGTTTTTTTATATAATATGTGTACACCCATTATTAAATTTAACATTACTTACGACATTACATTATATAACAATTAAATTAAATTAAATTTTATTAACGGAAAATTATAATTATTAATGAAGTAAATAATTAAGAATTAAATTCAATTGATTATACAATAGAAATAATAGTATATTTACAATTAATTTATACTTATATTTTAAAAATGGAATGTTAGATTATAAGAACTTTAATAAGTAATATATTTAATCAAGAGGTTTATAATTATAAGTTTTGCTGTAACAAAATTCAATATCAATTCATTTATTCAAAACAAAGCGTCGATAAGTACATTTTATTACAATATTTCTGCTTGCCGCCAATAGATGGCGTTAGGATCGAAATAAAACGCGCTATTAAAGTGTTCACTTCATTTGTACTAAGGGCCATGAATCTAAACGTATTATTAACTCTTAGAGTTATACGAACTCTTTCACGAATTTTTGTTAAGCTGTCTTTCGGTTTTTAAAATGAACCTTTAGACGCTTTACGTAATATTTTAGTGAACAGTAAACGGAAGTTTTATTGGGCCTGATGGTAAGCGACACGCCAATTCATAACAGTTGCACTCAGAACTTTAATTCGCAAGGACCTTGGGGGCACTGACACTGCGCCCTTCACCCGGAGACATAAGAAGTCCCATGTGCCTGTAATTTCATTAGCATCCTTATCCTTCAAAACAGGAACGCAGTAACGCTCATCTACCTGGACGAACTCTTACACAAAGAGCTCTTCTGCTACAAGTCGCACATGACAACTAACATATTATTATCTCAACATGGCTTTAATTTATATTAATATTACCTATTTGGTTTCAAAGCGACAGCGTCGTCCTGTCACTTTGAAATTAAATCGTATACGAATGACAATATCAATATAGCGAAACTTTAGGAGATAAATGATCAATATAACGAAATTTTGAGATAAAATACAATATAACGCGATTTTTGAGATAATACACTATGTTAGTTTTCAAGTGCGATATGTTAATTTGCAATAATATTTTTCATATTTTCCTGATCTGGAATTGTATATTATAAAAATCGTAAAAGAATGTAGCTGAAACCAAGAAACACGAAATATATTTTCGCGCACGTGGTAGGGGCGCCATCTTTATCGGTGTTTTAAAAGTTTGAGTGGCACGGACTGACATTTTGTTCCTGATTAAAAAAAAACAATTATTTATTTATTTATTTTAATTGTACTCATGGACGTCATGACGAGAAACATGCATAAATTAGTAATAAACTTTTGAAGTAATTAGACCCCAAAGACATGTGATTTATTACAATAGCATGAGTTCTAATTGATAGTTTCTTTTATTTATTTCATTATTATATTTCCCTTTACGTAGTGATCTCTACAACTACTTCGTAAAGGAAAACCGTCTCCTATGTAATTTAAATTAATATATTTTCCATACAATAAGAGCTAGTACGCTTTTTGAAACCAACCCAAGTATTTATATGCATCTGGTTTTAATGTAGGCAAGAATACGTTCGACCAAACCGCAAGATCTGCCTTACCCCGCTCTTTTTAGAACGATAATGCAAACCGATGTAATGAATGATACGGGTCCTATTATAGTGGTCGTAATCGGATAGGGAAGCCTTAACGTTTTCACTTACGTGGTTGTGAGATGGAATTTTTTTGCACTTTATTATCTTATGGCGATGTAGAGTTAATAATGTCTTATTTAAAATATTTTTTAGAGACTTTATATTTCGGTTATATTAACTAAATAAACCTTGTGGTTTATACATAACACACATCCTACTGAGTAAGGATCTACTCTAATAAAAGTTTAAGGTACGTTATAATAATAATGCGCCACGCTGAACAGACGTTGATTTTTTTTAAACGACTTCAAAGAAAGGTGTACCTAAGTTACGCCATTACTCCGGCATTTCTGAACCGATTTTGATCATTTTTTGTTGGAAAGAAGGTACCTCATTCGCCACACATTGAATGAACACACTTTCCGATAACAGATTTCAACAAACTTGGTAAATAGTGTAAATCCATGAGGTCGGTGTTTTTCTAAAAAAGTTACAATTATAATGATAACAAGTGACGGGACAGACAATTCGTGCTCCTGTTGGTAAGCGACACGCCTGTCCATAACAGTTGCAGCGCCGCTCAGGGCTTTAAATCACAAAGATCACACTATACGTAACAACACAACTTAAATTTGGTTTAGTTAAAAACCAAAAACAAAAATCTGCGACAAGTTAGTAACTAAATTCGTAAGGTCTCTTAGTTTGTTCCGCGGCTTAATTGGCATGGCGTCTAGCACGGTTTGCTGGAAGACGCTGGTTCGAATCTAGCCATATCGAAGGATTTTTTCTAAATGTGTCTTTGTATTAATAATTATAACAAACTAGTGGAGTAATTTCAAACAATAATTAAATATCATAGTGAAACGTGACATTAAAATCATACAAATTCCAATATAGAAAAGTTAATTTTCTCCATTAATCCGGTCGGGGATCGAACCCGGGACCTCAGAGATGGCGACACCTTGAAAACCGTTTATATAACATTTTAAGAACAACCACAGTCGGATTAAAATGATTGTTAAATCGTAGTTTAATTATTTCGATATAATGTTAGTTCTTGCTGTTTCCTTCTATTAAATTTGGTTGATTATACGTTATAAATAAATCGTCATGGAAATGAGAAAAGGTTTTATTTATCTATCTAATATTTAGATAAAGCCTATCTAGTCGACCTTTCACCACGTTTCTATTTAGATATGCCATAATTAAATATACATTTCAAGTTTCAAGTAATATTATTTATTCAAATGTATTTCGTATAAAAATAGACTGAAGGGTAAATACGTATTTGTATTTATACATAAAAATATGTTGCTGGATTTAGACATTCAAACCAATGTCACGAGTGTGACATACGCTAAGGGATAATCCCAAACCAGAGACGGAAAAAGATAACAATTATATACGTTATAGAGTATACTGAATTGAACCCAAAATACTCTCTGTTAAAGGAGAGTTTACAATATACAAATGTCAAATATTTCGATATTGGTATAATAAAAAAAAATACATTGCAAATTCAATTGTATCTCCATGGATTTTGTGTTATTTTCTGCACGTGATGAGCGCTAAAATTTGTAATTTCTTGCTGTATCCGTAATACACAACTGTGTATAACTTACTCTACATAAATACGAGACTTAAGTTCATCAGATCGTTATAATTGACTGTCAGTGAACAGCTTTCACGAAAACACTTAAAAAATAAAGCTCAGAAAGCTTCCACCAGAAATCCAAAGTGACAGGAACAATTGTCGAAGTGACAACATTGATAAGCTCACAACATTTGTTACTTTCGAGAGAGAAAACATTTTAAAAAATCTTTCATCGTGTGAGTACATTTCACACGTATGTGTGACTTCTTCTTCTCTCTTCATCTTCACGCCTTTTCCCCGTCGGGATAAACAAACACCACAGGCAGCATTATAAGAACAAGTATGGTAACTATATACAAACGTAGAACGCGGCTTATATGTGTGCACGCCTGTTGTGCACACATATAAGCACTCGCATTGCACTGCTCGGGGCATCACGGGCGCCTTACATTTTTTTTTCACACACTCATGGGGCTATGAGCGCACAAGGGAAACCTTGCCATTTGTTTATTATTTTTATTTTATTAATAAGTTACAACAACAGTAGTATGACATATACTCTTAGATAACAGTGTAACTTATTTATATATATAAATATTACGTATACTTCTATATATATATATATATATATATATTAGTAGTAATTCTTAGTATTATTTTTAATTTATATAAAAACTTTATTTAGGATTGTACTTATATGTCTGCCTATTACAGACGCACACAGCATTTAATTTAATAAAGTAATATTAAGTAATATTAAGCAACACAAAGAACAACAAAGAACCTATGAAATTACTGGGAAAACGATTC